TCGAAACTTTGCGGCGATGAAGGTTTCAACGCTACCCACCAGGCGGACATTGCTAGCTGGGCTAAGAATCTTGTCCTAACCTTGAATAAGGTTATATGCATTTCATAAGATCAATGCAGTGTACTTCAATAAATCACTTCATCTGTCCACCCGTTGATGATGGGTATAAAATATTAAAAGACTTTATATTCAGATAAGTTATTCCGATGTTCTTTCGAGCTTCCTCTACATGAGATAATAGTTTTCCAGCGCATGCCGACGCTAATCATGGAACGCTCAAAATTCCTCATCTTCCAATTTGATTCCTTTTGTTGTTTATCTGGAGAAAACAGTCCAGCAAACATATTCAGAGGCTTACGGTGATGTCGATCCATCGTATTCTAAGTGTCGTTTGTGGTTTCAACGGTTCAAAAGTGGCGACACGAATTGACTGAAAATGCCATTTTTTGGCCACTTGGTGTAAAAGTCGTCCACGGTACACGGTTGCAATTCGAAAGGGAAGCTTTGTTCAGATTCGCACACCGGCTTAGCTGACACGCGGGTCCGGAAAGTTGAAAAAAATACGTAAATGGTTTGAAGAGTGGGCCGCTGCCAGACCAATATGAATTTTTTCGTCATGATAACGCCATGTTGCCAAAAATATTGTAAAATGTTATAGAAAATGTTAGAAAGTGCAAAAGAGTGATCAAAACTTTTGCAAGCACCTTATATTAATCATATTGATGCCTAAGAAAGCTTGTCTTCTTTTTAAATCATTCATCAAACGTACGGCTTACTTTGATCGTAAAACATAGTGAACATCTTCTCGAATCTTTCTAAAAAATATTCAAAAATCATATAAAAGAATTTTTCAACAAACGTATATATATATATATAGTTTTCCGGACTAATACATGCCAGTCAGTCTAGGTATAATATATTCAGTCAGCTTTAAAGCAGATATAAAGTCAAAAATATGGCTAAAAGGGAAGCACAATTAGGAAAGAGTTTTGCGGAGAAACTCATGAAAAAAATCGGGATTTCTTTTTTTGTTTTCTTCTTTGACTTAAATTAAACTAAAAATATAATATTTGGGAAATTAAGTACGAAAACAATAAATAATTTTCTCTTCTACAAAATTTCCCATCAATAATAAGGCTTTTCGGATACTGCATTAAGTTTTGAGATTCGAATCGAAATTTCGTAACCTAGTATCGTATTGAAAACTTTTTCGATTAGTTTCAATATATTTGAAAATAATATTCATATTTTTTATTTTCCATATGCGTCTTTTACTTATGCTCTAATACAATTTTATTTACAGATATATTTTTAAAGCTTATCATAAAAATTGTGTTAAAAGTTTTTATATTTTTTATTATTATCAATATTATTATTATTGAATTTTTAGATCGAAATTCCTTACGGAGATATTGCATGTACTTACTTATACGTTATATATATATATTTTTTGTAAATTTTTTATTACACTTAACTTTGGAAATTATATATATAATTTTTATTTATTTATTTATTTTTTTTTTACATTATGTTAACAATTTTTTTTAAATTTATTTATTTATTTATGTCAGCAATGTTGACAAATTTATTACAATTTTCGATTTTTGCACAACATTTCATTATTAATATTCGTTTTAAATGTTTTCAGTTTCAGCATATATGTATACATACACATATATATATAAATTTAAAAAATATATATATTCTTTTTTAAACAAGATAAACATAGGTATGTGGATATGGTGGCGTAGAGAATATTGAATGAATTCCAAAATAATTTCAGACTTTAAATTATTGCTACAAAAATTAATTAACGAATCATCAAGTCAATAAGTAATTTAAAATTCATTCCTATATTATTATTATTATTATTATTATTATTATTATGCATAACAGTATAGCAAATGTTTGTGGATATTTAACATAATACTTGATCATTATCTTTTTAAAGTGTAATTACCGTGAAGTAATGTGTGAAAAGGAGGGAGAGACAGAGAGAGAGAGAGAAAGAGAGAAAGAAATTTTGCCAGCAAGTGCTTAGAGGAATGGTATGTACTTAGAAACATGTCATTAAAGAATCCCATTAATGGTTAACTAAAGCGTTACTTTTAGGAAGAATTATCATTGCACCTACGAAGGCTTAGCCCAAATGCTCCCCAGAGTGCAAGCGCCTCATTGAGATAGCATTTTGTAATATATTGCAATCATCCTTTCGGTCAAGACAAGGCCTGCCTGTCTAACACCTATAGCTTCCATCGGATCAAGTACCTTCCCCTTAAGTCACAAAATGAAGCTCTGTAGAAATTCATTTTCAAAAGATTCGTGGAACGTGTCTGACAATAGAACTTATTCAATGATTGAAGAGAAGAACTTTTATAAAAAAATAACCTATGCTTCCTATGCTCCGAAAACTTCAATTGTTTGATTAAGGATGAAACAGAAACTTTTTTGCCCCCAAAAGGACCATATCCCCAATTTTGAAAATACTTCAGCTCCTCTAGAGATTATTAAAAGTCGTTCATCAATTCGGGCATAGCACAACAACTTTATGAACAATTATGCAATACAGATTATCACTGGTGCCGAGTTATGTCACACGTATAAGACGAGATGAGATTACGTGAAGCGTTTTGTGCCATTATGCAAATGCAAATATGATATTAATGTTGATTGACTAAAAATAATCGAACTTTCCTGTGAATAGCTTAGATGCCTATTAAAATGTATGTAAAATATTCATTATTCGAGTAAAAGTTAAAAAAAAAAAATGTATAATGGAAGCGTGGGGTATAGGTACTAAAATATAAATAAAAACTACACAGAAAAATTTTATAATACATTTTTTCGGTTCGAGCCGAAGTTGTAGAAAAAAAAAAAAAAACAATAAAATAATAAAACTTATGTCAAATAAATTCTTTCTATTACCACAAAACTGACTAAACTGTGTGTATTCTTTAACATTAAAATCCAATTTCGTTGAATGCGGAGAATGAGAAAACCTGTCGCGATGCAGGCCTAAGTAAAAATCATTTTCTCATTAAAGTTTTCCTTAATTTCAGATAACTTTCTTTTTTATGCCCTACACGACTAGTTTTACAGGGTATATATATACAATTGTTGGGAATGTATATAACCCATATATGAACTTAAGCTGAAACTAACTTTTATTGTAACGATCAACTCAAAATCATTTTCTGGATCAACTTAACTTAACTGAAAAGTAATCGTATGCCTATATAAGGATTCTTACGACAAATAATCCCGTAAAGGCTCAAGTTTTTTCAATGAATATGAGTCCACAATTTCACATGAAAATCGACCGTAGCAAATTTGGATTAATGCCTTCCTTCTTTTCTTTTAGATTCCGATAGAACCGCACCGATACTTTATATGGCGATAAAGTCCAATTTGCACTTTCTTATGGCAAAAAAATATTGACAAAAAATAATAAAATCTTGACCAAGAAAATTTAATTTGTTACATCTGGATCACACCAATGCACTTTTTGGATACTTCTCAATACACTTTCCATGAAAAAGATTATTGTAAAAATTAGTAAATAAAAATTGTATTAAGCGAAGTGATATGAAAGAAGGCTAGGAAATCGGCATAGCCGGTCTAGTAGTCATACTTTTACTTAATTATGAACGGTGCTCAGTGGTACCTATAATGACTGCTCAATCGGTAAGGCTATAACACTTACCAGCCAACTTGTCGTCACTTCTTATCTTTCCCGCCATTTCTTTCTTTCTGATACATGCCACAGCACATGCGCCTCGAAAATAAGATCGCATTGGAAACTATAATAAGAATAAATTTGCTATGCGGTTTAAATGGAAAACAATCGAACAGATCCCGTATAATATATAGAATATTTGATAATAGCCGACCGGCCGGCCTTGCCCTACTATAATGTGTTTACTTGTTAAAGTTATGGAAGAAGAAGAAACCAAATATATAAGGAAATCTATTTAAATAAGGATGATAAGGATGATAAGGAGAACTAATAATCAAGTGGTTATGCCGCTTTAAATAAGAAAACAATGGAAAAGTTAATTAGGGGAATTATAAAATCGGGAACAATAAAATCACTTTCATTTGTCAAGTAATTAAACAGATTAATTGACATGTTTTAGAATTCCTTAAAGAACAGATGACAAATTTCGTCGTCAAATGTCAGTCGTAATGCCCGATTTATAAACCAATTTTTTTAGACATTTTTCTTCTTGTAGAAAAGATTTCAGCTTTGCCTTTTTGGTAGAAGCATCTTAAGTAATTATTAGGTTTTCAGGAAATCTTCAAAAAAAAAAGTCGAATAACAGGAAAATAATATATATAGGAATTAAATCTAATGTCGTATGTATTCCACAGATTGTAGTATTTATGTGTATAATTACAAATCTTTTCCTAACTCAATCCGGAGATTATAACCCTAGTCATTTGAAGTCAAAATGTAATCTGCTCTGCAGCCATTTCTTCCTCTTGAATGTTCAAAGTAGTCTCAGTCATTACATGATAGTTTGCACTGTTATATTCTAAAAAGAAATATTTTTACATGAAGGATCTTGATTGTAGGTAAACACTTTTCCCGAAAAACTTGACATTGTAATAAATTCGTCTCCTTCAAGGGGAATCTATTACCAATGTTATCTATTTATCTATCGTTAAGGAAAAGAGAGTCTTTTTTTTTTGCCAACTAATGTTGAGGATTTCTTTACATCAATTATCTGGAGTTTATTAAATTTGCTATATCGCTGGTATAGCATCAAACACAATTTTCGAATTGGGACTCCAACTTTGTCAATAACAATATTGCATAATAGATAAGTTATGTCCATAGGATAAGTAAAAGAATGAGAGAAAATGGAAGTAAAAAAGAATTTTCAAAAATCCTAAAATATATGTAGATTGTTTTTATCTTCTGCGCCCGATTTTCAACTTAGTTTTATGAATGTTTTTTAAATTATTTTGTAAATAAAGAAAATGCTTTTTGTAAAAGGAAATTATAAAAATTGCTTAAGACTTCTATGAAGATTTTTTTTATTAAAATTTAATAATTAAAAATGTCTGTAGATATAAATTACGGTGCCGATGCTCATACGGTTAAACTCAGAAATCAACACATCGAGAGAGTAATAACAAGTCATCATTCAAACGACAATGAATTCAAAATTTCAAGATTTTTCGATCCCTTATGCCTCTGCTGTGTAAGAATACTTTAAGATCTACGTAGCTGAGGCAGATGCCCGTCCGCGTCGGGGAAATGCCGTGTCGAATCACCGGCAAATGAATCTCACAATCAATTTTAAATAGTAATAAATTAAATAACATAATAAAATTGCCTTATGCCAATTGATATAGGAGTTATCATAATCAGACAAACTGAAATGAATAAGCCATTGGTCATTATGGGAAGCATTTAATCAGCCTAACCAAAAAAATCATCCGATTTTCGTTTCAAGAAAACCTACACCAAAAATTTAAAGGAAAAATTCATTCGATTTTCGTTTCATGAAAACTACACCCAAAATTTCTAAGAACAATTCATCCGATTTTAGTGGCAAGAAAAGAGTCGCGGTCAGCAGTGAATATTCTGCGACCGTTATATAAAGTAGTACAGTAGTTATCCGTATGCATATCAGATTGCATTACTTGAGAAGCTTTGTGAATTTCTCGTAATCGTAATCGTTTCTAACATTATATTTATATATATATACTTTGCTTATATCCACAAGTTTTTGTTCCACTTATTATAAGAAAGTGCGCTCATGTTATCAATACTTTTTTGGACTTGGGCGATGGATACTTACAACTCATCTTAAGACAAGTGTATAGGTTGCTCATATCTCCTTTTTGTTTTAAGTAGGAATTTACAGAAACACAAAATCTGTAAAGTAATCAATATGTTTATCAGAAGTATTATGACTTAGAAGGAAATATTAAAAATTTTTATAAACGAATCTAATATCGATTTTTATAAATTTTTCAAGTTTAAATTATGATCTTTAAAAGATTTTAAATTTTCTAAAATTTCTCGCTTTCATTTTCTCACAAAATCTCGCTACAATTTCTATAATTCATATTAAATAACTTTAGAATAAGGAAATTCAGTCACAAGTTTAGTAAGGCAGAGGAGATTAATTAACTCAATAGAATATTAATAAAAAAAAAAATAAAAAAATAATAATAAGTAGAATAAACTTAACCCAATGGAAGAATTGGCACAAATTTCTTATCAGGAAGGAGGCTGACAACGTTTTTAAAAATCATTTTCTTTAAATGCTGCCATGAAAATCGCCTCAATATTTTCCTATAAAATTATGATTTCTTAAAAATACCTTTAAAAAACTTTTACAAGAGCTGGTCGCCGACATCAATTCACATCCAGCCCCAGCAGTTGGGATCACGTTGATTTTTAAATTCCACTTGACCGATATGTAATCGTAGATAGGGTCTCTTTAGATGCGCGGGCAAATTTCGGGCGAACTTTTCCATAGATGGGCCCGTTTTGGAAGGCATTTTTGGTAATTGCAAATTCAATATCCTAATGTCATACTTTAGATTGCTGCGCGCCAACGGATGAGCGCTTTTTATACGATTCGTTATCGTCATTGTACGTTTAATACCGATTAATAATTTCTCTCCATTGGGATCGTGACGCTCGAGAGAGCAGTGTTCGATTAATTCGTTTTTTGTTAAAAATTCAAATTTACAATAATTGCAACGATAGTTAATACAACGCCGATGTCGAATCATATGACGGTCCAGTTGATGCTGATACTGAAATGTATTTCCGCACTTATAGCATAAATAACGGCCGCTATTCTGACGATCCAAATGATAATCGAGAAATACTCTATAAATTTTAAATTTTATTATTAAAATATAAATGTTCAATGACTACTACTTGCTGCATATATATATATACTTACTTGCTGGTAAAACAATTGCCGCATTTTTTGCAATAGAACCAGGATTTCTTGAAGTGCTCCAAATAATCGTGTAGCATGATTTTCGGCAGGGTATCAGTTTTAAAGTCGCAATCAGTCACGAAACAAGTGAATGATTTTGAAATTATTTCTAATTTTAAGCGATCCAAAAGGTAAAGATCTGCAAATAATTTATTAATAACTTTTTAACTTTTACTCCTTTACACTCGATCCTTATTAGGATGATATTGTTTCAATATTAAATTTAAGTTAATTTTAACTTCTGATTCGACTTACCATATTCTTTGTCTGTATGTATTTGTAAATGCTCGTCATCATCGAATGGATAATAATCAAAATTGTAGTCAAACTGTGATATGACACTTTGTGAATTGCTATGCTCTTCCACCCACTGTCCAGTGAAACTTAAGCGCCTATGGTACATGGTGTCTGGGATAGATACCTCGTCATCATCATCGTCCTCTTCATTATAACCGTAAGTATCAACAGCACTTTCGGAGTCACTATGTTCATAATTTTCGTTGAAGCTACTTGGCGCCTGCGGCACGCTTTTATTGTCTATGCTTTTCCGTTTATTTTGTTTAGTCTTCTTGGCAACACTTTTGACGGAACGACTTTTCTTTGTTTTCACTCCTTTTTTAGTGGTTGATTTGTTGGGTTTACTTTTGGGTTTTTTTGTTGATTTTTTTGTTGTTGTCATTATTGAAACTGCCAGACTGGATCCGATTGATAAAGCCCTCGATCTAGCCCGAGTCATACGTCTTGCCGGCAATGCCGGTTCATCATCTTTAGGATCCGGCGTACTTACCGCTAGCTTAGCCTCTTGCTTGGCTGCACATACTACACGATGAAATTCAAATTCGTATTTGCTGGTAAACTCATCGCCACAAATGTCGCAATAGAACCTTTGCAGATGTATACGCCTGTGCTCCCTCAATTTGTTTAGTGAATCCACAGTTACAGCGCAAGCATTGCAGTGGAAAAGGCGTGGTGTGGTGGTTGTTTGCGTTCGATTATTATCTGCAGGTGTGGGACGACAATCATCTGATCTAAATTCGGGCGCCAGTTGACTTTCATCGTCTGCTTCTAAATGGGTGCTCTTAACACTACGCGCTGAAGTCATCGATTTAGCGTAGCGTTGTGAAGATTTGCAGCGTCGCACATGTTTTGTATGATAGTCTTTGCGCCAATAAGTGCGACTACAATGTGGGCATGCCAGCTGGACAGGTATTTTACGTACCCGAGCATAACTTTGTTTACGATTTGCTCCCCCCGATTCAGTTGTCAAAGGTGAAACGTTTCTTTCTTCGTAAACTTCCAACATAGAATAGTTGTTCATCGTTGGCAAGGGTGGCATTGGTGCGTTATTGACATTTTCGCAGTGTTTCACTCCATTATTGCTTGTTTGCTTTCCAGATACCTCCTCGTTGCTGTTATTTGTTTTCATCACTGGAGAGCAGCTACGTTCCAATACGGGCGTATGTAGAGGTGTGTCTTCTGTTACAGGTATAAGAAAATTATTCGGACTAGTATCAGGCGTAAGTGATGTTATCAATAATTCTTGATGGTGCTGATGGGGTATAAGTTGCTTTTGTTGTACATTTGTTGCCGCTGAAGTTAGTTGAGCACTCTGCGACGATAATTTTTGAAAACGCCTCCCTATTGACATTGTAAGCTCTTTATGAGCGTTGATCTTGAAAATGCATTGCACACAAATCGAACTTAACCAGTTTTGTACATTTTCTTTCTAAAGGGGAATTATAAAGTTATGGATAAAGGAATTCAATAACGTATTTTTATTAAATAACTTACCGACAGATGCCAATATGTCATAAGTGTTTCGTTCATTGGAAGATTTTTTCGCATATCAACCAGGCGGTTTCCCTGGTCGCGCATACACATTGAGCAAAATTTGGCGACTTGAGCCTGCTCCTCTACTTGCTTCGGTAGTTCCATCTTATCTTTATTTAGCAAATCGTTTATAATACCATTCTGGTATATAGACGGCTGTTCAGGTGACATTCGAGCAAACGCCTCCTGGTCACACTTCACAGGCGTTTCTTGCTTACGTTTCTTACTGCCTATTTGTTGGGCTTTTCTCGCACTTCGTAAACCTACTCCGCCATTCATAATTATGGTTCTAAATGTTTGTTGTTCTTAAATGTTTCTTCTCTATAAGAAATTGACTCCCGTATCTTATCATATACGAAATAAACTAACATTTACCATAAAAGGTATTACAAACGTTTTGTCTGTTTGGCTAATTGCCTAGCAAACGAACTTTTAACCATATTTCCGCTTAACTTCCATTAATTTTTTCTTATTGTAAATATATCGTTTTAAATGGCTTTTTTAGGCTTGCACTAATTAAATTACAAAATTCGATTTTAGTAAATATTATATTTAAATTTTCAGTATTTAGTGAAATTTTTACGAAAAAGAGCGGCTTCACGTAAATTAATTTTACTCGCAACAACGCTCAGCTGTTGTAGTGATTTGACGTTTATCTAAGATTTTTTTTAGATATAAGAAGATTGTCAAGTTCAAGTTGCGACTGTTTTGTGACATAATTTTTTTAGAGGTACAAAGCGAATTTGCATAATCTTTTGCAAACTGTTCCCCAATTTAAACGTCGAAGAGTGTATTTTGTTTATGTCGTGCTGCATTTTTCCAATTGAAATATCTCAAAAGCATGTCTCATTCCAATAGTCCCATTTTTAACACAGAGGTGTTTAAAAAGCCACTCAATGAAATTGATAAAGAAAGAAAATTTATTTAGATTAATTTTTAGCATTAAAGTAGCCGTTTTGATAGCAAATAGTATAGATTGTATAGCAAGCATCTCATTAGTTTTATTTTCATGCAGTCCAGATTTTATTTTTCGCAGAATTTTTGAAAAGTTATGGGAACTCTGCAGAATATAGAAAACGCGCCTTCTTGATAGCGTTGATTTTTTATTTATTTATTTTTTTCGGAATAAGTTGGGAATGAAATAGACAGTTTCATTTGTTTTTAATTTAGCTGACAACAACAAAAGGACCTCCAAAGGAAGACACAGTAAAGCAAACGACGAAATTTTGAATAACACAAATATATTTACATATATATACATATATTTGAGTATACTTAAATGTTAGGGTTAAACTGTTTAGAGAATGAAGGTGTACAGTTGAGACACTACCGCTTGCTTAGAATTTTCACAAAATAATTTCTTTGCTACCTAAATTGTAGTTGAATTAAATGAACATCTTAAGGCAAATGTAAAAATAACTCACGTTCAGTTTTTCATTTCTATTATTTCTTTATGTTCAATATATTACAGGCTTGAAATTAGCCTACTCCTGTAGCACATATTATTGTCTTTGCTAAAAGGTTCGCATCCATGCTAAGGCGATTGATAATTGAATGTTATTGAAAGAACAAAATGTTGAGAAAATTTAAAATAAAAGGTGCCATCATAAATAAAAAAATGAATTATTCTACTCACTCTATTTACCATATAGTGCATGTGTAAATTTGCGCCAATACAAAGTGTGTTATAGAAAATTTTAACGAATTTATACAAGTGTACACTTCTTTGAAATGTTTTAAATGACGCTTAACCGTATCAGAAAAACGTAATTTCATTACTATCATTGCCAAAATCACCACAGTATGTCCTCTCTGTATACATAGATCACTAAATGCAAAATGTTTCAAACATGTTGCTAGTGAAATATTCCATCCTGTATACGCAATGGCTTTGTTTTTGTTCAACATGTATTTCTAAGACTACACATCATGGGATATGTTTATAATAGTAGAATGTTTTGAATAAAATTGTACGAAGGTCCGTTAACGCTATAGAAAATGCCTTTCCTTAAAATATATTCGTCAAGGTTGTTAATTATTTGATTATATTTGGTTGACCTAATCGAGCTGCGGAGAAGCATAAAACAGTATTGCAAGCTCATCGTACCATTATCTTATTGTTGCAAATCAATAAGAAGTCAATCAATCTTCTTTTCTTAGTAGTAGTAGCCTTCAAAAACATTGATATTGCAACAAATATGGGCAACAAAAACATTATGTATATAAGATGAAATATTTCATTAACAACATTTATGCAACATTTTGCATTTAGTGTGTTATGTAGACAGAGAGGCTGTATTTGGGGCGAAGTTTGCAGTAATAGGCCCTACATATAGTAATGAAATTAGGCTTTTCTGATAGGGTTCAGCATTTTTCAAGACATATCCGAAATCTGTAGTTTAGTAATGTCTCTGAAAATTGCTATAACACGATTTGGAAATTGCATTCTTTCAACGTTAATGTTTTACATGAGGCTTAGCAGGAATAACTTGGCTTTTTTTTGCATTTATGATCGTAATTAAAAGTTTAATTTGTTTTATATATGCACGCTTGCTTCGCAATAAATCGTAACTTAGCAAAGACATTTTTAGCGAAGATCTTTGACGGCCTCTCTTCATTTCGGTAATATATTCAATATATAGTTTTCAAGTTTGTTTTCGCGTATTAACTTTTTTTAATTTTTCTATTAACTATTCAAATATTTTCATTTTTTCACAATTAAAACTATCAAAAGCTATTTTTCGACTCGCCTGGTTCGCATGTGTGGCCACCTTACCTATAAATACAGCGCTTTACTTATCGCATGAAGTAAAATAAAAACAAAAAAAAGGTTGATTTTTATTGTACATCTGCATTATAAATGGAAGAGTACGACATTCAGGCGTTACAAGCGGAGCAGGACGCCGGCTGCATTCTTAGCAGAAAAGAGCTTTTTTTTATTTAAATGTTATCCATGATTTTTGGTGACCAGGGCTGAGGAGTGACAACGCCAATGGATATGATTTTGCATAGGGACAACCAACTCCTCGACACTACCGCTGCGGTCTTCTAGTTCCTCTAGCTGCTCAACAACGCCGCCATGATTATGGTTTTGCTCGTCAACAACAATGAGCGTTCTCCGTCGAACCAGCTGCCACTACTTATGCTACTCATTAACAACTCATAGGAAAAAAATGAAAAAAAGGAAAAAATTTAAGGAAAAAGAAAATAGTTTAACTTTATGAAACCCCAATATACTTGTTTATACCTTAAATTACTGTACTACAGGCATTGCGCAAATTTTATTTACCTGACAAAGGCAATGATCTGTGGCACTGGTCGAGTACATTTTCTTGCTCTCATCATATCAGACCGTGATGCATGAAATTAAAATAAAGGAATAGGAGCAAAAGGAACCAATCCGGCTGTGGCTGAACATATTGTACCCATCTCCTTTTCCGCAAATAAATGAAACTTCGATGCTCTATATTGTCGAAGAAGCGTAGCCGAGTTTTTATTTTTGTTCGTATATTGTGTGTGCATATTTTTTGCAGTTATTTCTGTTGTATTATGTTGTATTGAGTAACAAACAATTGAAAGGGAAAAATTAAACTTTTCTTTGCTTTTTGATCTGAAAACAGACAGTGTTCGCAGTTTAAATGGCACGTGTTCTTCGATCGTTTTCTCCTATTTTCAATAACAGTTCGCATGCGAAAACTTCCACTATTGATAACTTTATTTTTGGTGCCTGGGGTCACAAACAGACGGACATGCGTAAATCAATTCAATATTTGAATTTTCGACAAAATTCTTTAAGAACGAATGCGAAGAAGAACGAAGAAAGATTAAAATCGATAAGACTAAGAACTAGTGTTCAAATATTGTAGCTTTCACTCAAACTTTGTGAAAAGACTTCTTTAGCTTGTCATCAGAATATGATGATGAAAAATTTTACCATTTCAGTGCTCGTTACTACTGGATCGCTTTTTAATCAACCGACTGCAATAAGTAAATATAAAAAAAAAATTTGGCAATTTTTAAATATATTTATTAGCAGCCTAAACGAGAAAGAAAAATATTTTCGGCAGTGACCGAATTTTTTTTACCCATCACCGTCATCCTGAAAAAGATGGAAATAGTAAAAGAACAAAATTTTCATGCTCTTGGTTAGGGAGCGGGCGCGGACGCGGCTGCTTTTTTCTATTTTTTGCCGCACACCTACACCTACATGTGGGCGTGGTAGGCGCTCTTGGCAAATTTTAAGTCACTTCCAAATTCTTCTCTAAATATGTAGCCGATAACTTCATTTCCGCTAACGGGAGAATGTTTACCATAAATACTGCGAAATTGCGCAGACAGGTGGATGGACAGACTAATAAATAGGCATTTTTATATACGATCTAAATTGGAAACTGACCAAGTATTTATATACTTTGTGGAGTTTTTGATGTTTGTTTCTATTGGTAAACCAAATTTTAATACACTACGTTGTTGGGTAGGCGTGGTCAATTTTTTCAACTACTATTTTTTTAAAAATAGTACTACAGCATCGCCCATAGAATATGCTTTCAAATTTTTATACATTTGTCTGTTATAGTTTATGAGTAATGAGTGAAAAATCAATTTTTCATTCATTTTGGAAAACAGATGTGTCTCAGTAGCGCTGCGAAAGGCTCCTTCGACCGATTTGACCCCATTTTCAATACCAACTTGCGCGTAAGAACTTTCAATGATTCTACCAAATTTTAAGTTGATAGCTTCATTTTTGTGGCGAAGAGATTGTTTATTACAGATGGACAAACGGACATGCTTAAATAGATTTAGATTTTGATGCTTACTAAGAATACATCTCTGGACATATGACTGCTTTGTCACTTGTTGTCGCCAATCTACATAGAGGAGAAAAACATTTTCATAATTGCATCAAACGTCATTTTAAGCAATGCGAACAATTTGTTATTTTTATGCAAGATGTCCTTGGCCGAGTGCATCAAGTTGTTGTTGTGATTAAAGTAAACATTGTAGGTTCTCAAGGTGACGAGCCTAATGCTAATAGTGCGCGGTAATGTAACAAAAACAACTTAAAAGCTTAAAACGTCTTCAGCCTGGATCTCTGAAACTAGACCAAAAAGGCCATGACTCAAATGTTAAATCAGCTATCAGCAACCAATTTGAACTTTTTCAAACTTATAATCGTGATGTGCAAGTTGATAATGACAACAACGGAAACCACTGCTAAAATATGTTCCAGATCTAATGGATGAATAAAATCCTCAATAGTATCGGTTATGTTGTACCGAAAGATTAGTTTAATTATAAACGTCCAGAAGACAATCGCGTTAAGTTTATGTTAAAGAGAGGTCAAGTGCTTGGGTTATTGTACGATAGATTTTCACATGTGTCAATTGAAAGACGAACATGTTCACAGTATATGTATACTAATAAATGTATGGTGGTAATAGTAGTAGTAGTTGTGGTGGTAGTTGTGGTAGTAGCATAGTAATAAAAAGTTCACAACATTCTACGCCTACTGTTGATATTAAATCAGAAATGATTTTCTCAGGATGTCAAGCACACAATATTATTAATCTTCGCCATAGGGTAACAAGAGAGCCTCTGTCTGTGTTTTATAATGACCTGGGCCCTAGACCAAACAACGGGGCAGTGTTTAATAGCGGACATATTAATCAGGCTATCATTTCTCTTCAAGCTCTCAGGAAAACAGTCGAGGCGTCAACTTTTTGCCCAAACCAAGACCTATTGTAAGGGGTCATGAAGGTATACATGTGGTCTAGTCTCGTTAATATGAGAACAATACCAATCCCGGGCCTATGCAGAGAAATCTAAGAATTCATGATGGAATCATGGAATGCCATATGAGTGATAAAATAATCCACAAACCAGTTTTTTTCCTTGTGCAATATCAACGTGTGGTATTAACATTGTGGGCATGTCTTCTCGAGTGATATGCCTCATTTTCAAAGTTAACCTGCGTGCAAGGATTTCCAATGTTTTCACCGAATTTGAAGCAACTTGAATGTAATTTTTACTACAGACGGATAGACGGATATGCTTAAATCGAACCAGAATCAGATGCTTATGAAAAATATATGTATTTTACTAGGTCTCTGAAGCTTCCTGGTAGATGTTGCAAAAGTTTTGAAAAAGATTTCATATTTCGGTGATGGGTATAATAGAAACAAAATGCAGCAGTGTCAACTTACGCCGACCGTAAGGTATTCGCACGAAGCTTCTTAGACGAATGTCGCTGGCAAATTTTAAAAATGGTTGTGCGTTTGTGATCCAAGTGATCCAGATAAGCCGAAGCAGTAGGCAAAGTGTTTTTGCGTTGATTTCTAAGGCCGACTATTAATACCGTATATCGATCCAAGATGAGCGTGACTACTTTCTTTTCTCTACTTTCTGTTTCTTTTCGTACGAATGTCTAAGACTTCCTTTTTGAGTCTTCTTCACATGATTACAAGTTTACTGGCAAGCTGGTCGTCTACGACCAGGCAGAGAAATTCTATCAAACCACAAAAGTTGGTGACGGGATCTGAAATGATTTTTGAACAGTTAAACGGTAGCCCAGTTAATGTTAATGTTCTTAAGCTTATCTGAGTGGCTCCTTTGCTCCTAAAGGAATACTTCGGCATATCTATATATATGTATGAAGTATGAAGGCAAGTAATGCGTATACTTTTTGCCGCAATGAGCTTTTGTTAAGGCTTTTGCTGATGCCTGCAAATTAACGAAATTAAATCTTAGGGAGACGCTAGTGGTACGCTACTCATTTTTCTCGCAATTCTATTGTAATTGAATTATATAACGAAACTTTTTCAAATTCTTAATTTCTGGTTTTTTTTTTTTTTTTTTTTTTTTTTTTTTGATACACTTCTTCTTCCTTTCCATTTTTATTACAATTCAATTGATAGTTGATATCGTGCAGAGAAACATTAAGTGAAGATCACTTCAAAAATTACAATAAGTTTTTATTAAAAATAGATTATAAAAAGCATTTATTTTTAAAAATAAAAAATAAATGAAACAAACATAAAAAAATATATTAACGGCATAATAATAAGAATAATAGTAATGAATATATAATTAACTAAATTTTTATTTTACTTACAAATTAAATTATTCTGATTCAATCGACTAAAAATCAAGTAAGGCGTACATTAAAAAAAAAAAAAAAAAATCAAACAGTATCCTATTGCATTGCCCCCAGCTCAGTCAAATAATAAAAACGTATTTAGTTAACATTTGTTTTTTTTGTTTCTTTTTTTTTTTTTTTTGTTTAAAGGCCTTTTTTAAAGAATATTTGTACAATGTTTATGTGAATAATGATGGATCATTGTTTCTCTTCACATTTACCCGACACCATTAAAAATATACTGTCTTTGCATTACAAGTCCGAAGACCATAGAGCCCCATAAATGAATGCGAATGAAATTTCAACTAATTTCAGACATTCGGTCTTTTGGTCATCAGTGCTACCTATGCATGGGTCTCACCGAGTGATCGGAATTGGCCATGTGCGCGCTCATCGCCTGGTTCCCTATCGTGCCCATAACCGTAACTTTCGTAATATTTTCGTCTCTTCAAAAGCTAACTCAGACGTACGTACTTCCGAAATGATGGCCAGGTTTTGCGCTTATTGTATATTTATTTGTGGCGTAATGGATGCTCAAGATTCGCCTTAAAGCGAGCGTAACAGTTTCACCTTTTTTATCTCAGTCGTTTGATCCTCTTACATCCCAGACTATGAGGTCAGTCTTATTAGTAAATTAAATTAATCCAAAATCGGAAATTAAACGAGAAAAAATTTAAAACTAATTTTTTTGTTTTTTTTTTTTTCGTTTTTGTTTTTTACAAATTTTATTAAACCATATTCGGTTTTTTTTTTTTTTTTTTTTCTTTTTTGTTGATGGTGAGGTAGTTTTGTTTTAGCGATGAACGATCATGCACCAGGTAAATATATATATATATATATATAGCATATATATATATACATATATATACTTATATGTTGAACTGCATTTTTTTTCGTTTATATATAAATTATTTAAAAATAAATATATCAACTAAGATTTTTTAAATAAATCACTGGATTTTGTAACAAATTCCTTTTCTTTTGTTTACGTATCTTTAGGAAAACGTCTTAAATGCTATAAAAAAAAAAGAATTGATTTTAAAAAAAATATTGTGTTTTTGCAGTTGTAGTAAGTAAATATGATGGTCAAGAGTGTGTGTTTGTGTGTGTGTATGTTGATCTGAAGAATTTCAATTTCTGATATTTTCCGAATTAAAAACTTTCTTATTAATGAATGTTGCAGCGACTGCTGCTTATGGGTTTTTTTCTTTTTTTTTTTTTTATAAATTTTCTTTAACTAATTTTATTTTTTAGGCACAATGTGATGTTGCGTTTGTTTTTTTTTTCTTTTTTTTGTTTGCAATAATTACCGCGAAAATGAAAATGTTCTTTTTAAAATTATTGAAGCTCAGGCAGAGTTTATGAAAGCAATAAGAAGAAAGCTTTTGTTAAGCTCTCCTAGCAGTGAGATCGCAATATGCAAATATCTGATCTATTAAGAGTGACCCACCCTTTCTCTTCTATGTAAAAAAATTTGAGAGGATTCTTTACTTTAGGACATCTGCTTAGAGATTAGTCAAACTGAAATGGTGTTGTATCGCAATAAAATTTGCTCCTTCAATACGCGTTCTTTGCTTAGAAGAAGAGATTTACAATTCTACGTTCTCTCTGTGTTACAAGTTTTCTAAGTAAGAGATAAAATTAAAATCCGGATAATGAAGTTAGCTTTCGCGTACAACCCGCTGAATAATCGGCAAAAGAATTCATAAAGGAATTCAGGAAGAGAAAAAAGTCCTCTATTCCGCGGGTATACTTGATATAAGAGAATATCGTCTTCAGAGCTCAGAATGTTTTAACGGAAAGACAAGACAGATGTTATTCTATTTATTAAATGTTAAGCAACAATTTCCGAATGTAAGATCGAATTAGTGTACTTTTAAGAAACAATGAGCTTTTTCCTTCTCTTTAATGCAAGAGAGCAGAAGAGGTGGATAGAGAGTGCGAATTAGACACAGGTAGAGAGAGATAGAGAGAGAGAGAGAGAGAGAGAGAGAGAGAGGGAGGGAGGGAGAGAGAGGCAGAGTGATAGAGGAAGTATTTCTTTCTTTTCCTTGATTTAAGGAGCAAAAGAAGAAGAGAAGTTACAAAAAGCTCACAAAAGCCTTTTTTCAATTCCAGTTCAAACACGGAGGAGAAATATTATTCCATCAGAGTTTATCCTCTATACCGTTAAACACTGAGCTTAGTGTTTAGTTAATTTAGTTAGCGTATTTATTATTGCATTCCGATTTTCTATTTAGATGTGTTTGCTGCCGCGTGTATATGTGTGTGTGTTTGTGTAACCGTGTTTGAGAAATTTCGACTAAATAACGTATTCACCATTTTTTTTTTTTTTTTTTAATTGTTTATAACCACTGTTTTCTTTTCCTTATTTTTCTTGTGATTGCTTTTCCTGGTCCTTGCTGCTGTTAACGCGTATTGCGTGAAATAAGGCATCGTAAGTATCGGCCGCATATTGCCAAGCCATAGTCAACATTAATCAATCGCCTCGTACATCATCGACAACTTCCCTTTTCATTGCGGACTCGGGAATAAATTCATCGCTAAGATTTAATGGCAACTTAGAGTTTATTATAACAGTCCTTTCCGCCTCTTGCGAACTGCGAGGTTGAGACATTGCTGGCAATATGTTAGTCGACAGTGGCCGTTGTTCTCTTTGTTCTACGGTTAATGGCGACTTAATCGTTTTTCGATTGATTGTTAGATCTTGGGCATGATTATCGTCATCAATGTCCATGACTTGTTGATGCCTCTCAGGATTGTTACCGCTGCCGCTACGTTCTAAGCCTTCAGGTTCGTCTATATGCATCGCGTTACAATATTTGATTAAAGGAAATGTGGCTGGGCTAGGAGAACGGGCGGCATTGCCATTTGCTCCTGGATTTGTGGATATATGATTGGCAGCCGCTTGAGCTACTGCTGCTAAGGCCATTGCATGTAAAGCTTCTCGGCCGGCTATATCGCCCCCGCCCCTACTTTCTAATGCTTGTTGTAAGAAGGCACGATCCAAAAGAGTTGGATGAGCCATGGCTTGTGGCAAATGGTGGGGTTCACTGGGGCGCTGTAACTGCTCTTTTAGCTCACTGTTTTCGCGATTAACGTCATGCATAGCGGCAGCGGCTGCCATTGCTACCGACGTTGACGCCTGACCGTAAGTATGAGCATAGGGGAAAGCTGCCGAAGATTCCACATTGGTTGGACTCCGCTTCAAAGCACGATTGATTGGACGACCTGTGGTTATGCCTAGTTTTTTTACTTTATCGTACAATGTTCTTGAGGGTACACCAAATTTTTTCGATGCTTGCAAAGCGGTCATACCCTGCTTCACACACTGAATAGCCGACATAATATCATTGCGAGTATATTGTTTGTAGCGCTTCCATTCCGGTTTCTGATTTCCTGTCGGTGCGCTGTTTACATTGCTATCGTAACTACTGCTACTGCTTCTATTTGCGAACGTCCCCTCATCGTCAAAGGAGCGATCGGTCAAAGGTGAGTGCTGTTCATCATGCTGTTGCTGCGGAAGCTGCGAATGACGATCAGGTTGCTGCATCAGGTTTTTTAAATTTCTTAATACTTTGTTAAAAAATTTCATATAGATAATCATGGAGGCACTTACCCGATTCCCGCTGTAATCAGAACCGTTTAAACTAAAACCATGACTACTTTGACCTACCATATGCGCTGATGAGCTCACATCTCCTTTCGTTGACGCCGCTGCTGCTGTCGCCGAGGCTGACGTGCTAGGTAGAACTAAAGGCAAGGACTGCGACGAATCGGCTGGATTAGTGTGGCCTAAAACATTACGCAATATGGGAGTGTCTTCGCCATTTACTATATGGGGGAAAGCGGACATTTCCGCCGCATGTTTTAACGAATTTAGATCGTTGCCTGCATCGTACACCGAATTGATCATGGCAGCTGCGGCCGATGATGGCGACATAGCCCATTGATTAACTGGAGCTGACGCGATTAAACCAAAGTTTCGCGTACTACTCGGTGAAATATTCGAAGAGGTAGATATTAAAGACGTCTCATGATGATCCAAGCTATCGCTATCTTTTGTTACTCGAGGAATTTGAGCACAATTGGATGATGTTGAAGCCGGAGACCGGTATAGAACGTCTGGACTTATTGGTCGTGTGCAATGATCAACTGCTCTTTCATTGCATTCGTCGGCTGCCTTACTAAATTTCTCTTTAAGATCGGCCATATCAAAAAGCCCCTTCACCTTCAATTCTTCGGCAATTCGCATTATTCTTGGTATTAGACTTTGGGTTACATCCACCTCACCGGTATACATATACTCAAGTAAAGCTTCCATTTCATATTTTTTAACTCCAGGAAATATTATGCTACAATGTTCGCCCGGCACATCCTGAAGTATACTATGAAAATAGGGTGAATTGGCTGCCAATACGACACGATGAGCTTTAAATTTTTCATTATCATCAACAATTATCGTGCAGTCGACATAATTCTCTCTTTTGTAGAGGACATCTAGTATATCAACCAAATTCGATTGATGCAGATTCCAACGCAGACAATAAGTTTGCGGCTCGCCCAAAGGAGGTCCGGGTGGCGGGCCCTCCATTGTGTAACTAGATAATTGTTGAATATCTCTCTGATCTTGTGGCTGTGGCAAGACCGGTGTTGAAAAATTCGAATAGCCGGAGTAACGAGCGAAATATTTACGAAATTTGAGAGCCAGCTTAACCCGTTTCCAATGAAGCGTTACTAAAAATGGAAAAGATGGAAAGATGGAAAACGATGAAATGAATTAATTACAAATAATGTCCTGAAATGCTGGAGATTTAGAATTTGGAATGAAAAACCATTTTTCTTCTTTTTTTTTTTTTACATTTTTTCCTTTGCTGCGCTTCGATTTGTAAAATATTAATTGAATAATTGCTCGTTCAGTTCAGTTACGACTTTTGAAAGAAAATATTTGCAAATACTTTCAATGTATGGTATGTTGGAATCAAAAAAAATTTTTTTCATTTTTTTCAATAATGAACAAGTGCAAACGTTTTCGGTAGCAAAAAAAAATATTTCCTCAAAATGTATGTATGACATAAGCATGTACATAATATATGTATATATAAAGTCCTGCATGTAAACGTGAAAGTGAAAGTAATGTAAATAACGCTTGAAATGAAATCGCTTTTATTTTTGGATTTTTCTGAAAATTTTGTTTTATAAACATACTTATGCGTGCACAGTCTTATGCTAACAGCCAACATATCTACTTTGGTATGAATGTGTGTATGCATAGAAATGAAAATATATTTACATTTTGCATATACATATACATGCATATATATATATATATACATGTGTATATAAGTACTTCATCCCTAATATTCATATTCACGCTTTCAATCGTTGAACTTCAAACGAAAGTGAAAATCAACCGGGAAAACTGTGGAGTTTTCCTCTTATTTTTTATATTTTATTTATGTTTTGTTAAATGTCTTCTCCTTAATTCGGTTTCTTTTTTTACGTTTTCATTACATTTTTTAACGTGGTCGACGTATGGGTCTCAATCGAAAAAGTTTTGGGGGTGACTTATACTTACATACATACGTACATATATATATGTATATATTTTTATATACATATTTATTCAATGCTGTCGTATGACATTAAAATAATTTTCAACGCATCGATCATAGAAAGGATCTCAAGGACAACAAAAGAAATTTACTCATAACATGCGTGCATATGGTCTGTAAATATATTTATGTACGTTCAACAAGATATTTATAGACTTTGAATAACAAATGTTCGACATATGTGAAATATTCAAGTGTGGCTCAAATGACTTTGCAACCTCCATATGTTGGACAAATTGCAAAAGTAACATAGTTTCCTTAGAAAAAAAAAAAAAAAAAAAATAGAAGAAAATTACAATACATATGAAGATCGCGATAGTAATGTTTAGTTTAAACAATTTTTCCTCTTTAAAATAAACAACAAAAAGTATGTTACACTTCTGCGGTGGTAAATAGTAAAAGCGGTCTATAGATCGATTGTATAAGAATAACACGTACAGCAGCAGACGTTCGCAATTTTGAAAGAAAAAATCTATGACAAGAGGTAAGGAAAGCTGAAGAGTAACTTTGTAATACTTATATAAGAAATGCCAGATCAATCGGGATTAATATAACGAAAGCGTTGTCACAGGATCTCGCGGTTTAAATCATCCATCCATAATTGTCAAAACTTTGTCAATTTAATATTTTCAAGGCTTCCATTGTCAATCAATTTGAATGCGAAAATCGTATTTCTTCTTCTTCTATTTAGCATAAACAACAAACGCAAAATTCCCAAGGCCCAATGTGAATGCAAAGTTCTTTTGTTCTTAGTTTCTTTGTAGTTCGTAATTAAACTATATTTGATTGTCTTGTTAATTTTGCTTGTTATATGTCCGCCACGTTTTTTTTTTTTTTTAATTTTTATCAATTTTGAATTTTACTCCTCAATCAAGTAGTATAGAAAAGCGAGAGGTAAATTTTGTAGTATAAGAAGTGGTATTGTGCATGAGTATAAAGTGTCATATGAAAGAATTGGTAATTGCGAGAGTCAAAAAGATAAGTAGGTTGGCTACATCTTAAGATATACATATCTTTTTTAAATTAAGAAAAGAAAGTAGTGGAGTAAGCTGCTAAGTTGTTAGAATGGACAATGTCAAGAATGTTGCGGCCATGAATACCACATATACACAATTCGCGAAGTGCGGGATGGCGAATAGAAGTGACAATATTCGCACAGATAAATGGGATATGATCAGGAGTTTACAAGACCTCATCTCCTGTACACAAATGGCAAAGATAATCATTACAACTCGTGTGCTTGTTAATAAGCCAAATAGCGTCTCGCCTAAGCCCGTAATTGATAAACCCAGAAGATTGTATTTGATATTCAAGGCCAAACTTTGAGATTATAATGGAAAGCAGTCAAAAAAAAAAAAAATAAAAAAAAAAATAATAGAAAAAATTCTATTATTCACGTCAATCAATGCTCTTCGGGGTTTTTGATATGTTACAAAACTATGTAATTATTACATAATGAAAAATACAGAAATGTAAAAGAAAAGCTTTTCTCAAGAATTACAAGATCGATACGCAACCGTTTTTAGTGAAACTCTGCGCATTTACACTTAGACAGTAGATGGCGATAGTGACGAATAATGTTACTCTTAATAGCATTATCGAGTGTTGAATGAATGTGGGAGCAAATTGAATGAAATGGACGTATGGCTTTTGCAAATGTCTTCTGGCAAAATGCTTAGTGTGTCTACCGAAAAGACATAGTTATATATTTTACCAAATAAGTTGCTGCGCTGTAAATACCCCGTTTTTTTTCTTTTAATATCACTAAGCACCGAGGAGATATGCACTATACGCTAACCAAGGTGCTAGTCAGGGAGAAGACAGTGCGGATAAAGAGAAAGACAAAGAGAGAAAGAGAGAGAGAGAGAGAGAGAGAGAGAGAGAGAGAGAGAGAGAGAGAGAGAGAGAGAGAGAGAGAGAGAGAGAGAGAGAGAGAGATAGAGATAGAGAGAGATAGATAGATAGATAGATAGATAGATGGAGATAAGGAGTGACCATAGCTTAGGAGGTGGATGCCCGACCGGTCATAAATCATAATGTATATCTGCAATCTTAAAAAAGCCTCTTCCGGATGCCCGATCAAAATGTTTATCTACAATTTTGAAGAAGTTTCTTATGAGCGGCCATAGCCTAGTTGGTGGATGCCCGATGAAAAAGTTTATCTATACTTTTGAAAAAGCTTGTTCTGAGTGGCCATAGCATAGGGGGTGGACGCCCGATCTGTTATAAATCATAATCTATACGGACAATTTTGAAGAAATTTCTTATGTTGTATATGGAAAAATTGGAAAAATTGATGGCTTAAAATTCGCTCGATTGTTGATTATAATTCTTGTCATCTTTCTGGTGAAGCAAGTTCGTATCGAAATCGCATCCCTTTTGTAAGAATTCAAGATAAAACCCATTTTTGAATAACGATAGGTGGAAGGAATGCATCACGTTCCAACTCAGCGCTGCCAAACCACTTCATGATGTCTTTCTTTATTGATTCGCTTTCTTGCTCGTATGGAGTAATAATACACTACACTTGATTGAGCCCAGGAGTAATCAGAAGCACGCACGTGAGGCATTAAATGTTTAATCTTAACCTCAATGTTTATGAGTCGTTTGTTTTCATCGCCGGGTTACCGGTCGGCAGCAAGCTCAACGCAAAATTAGATTCTTCTCTCTAACGATATTAATCGACATGGTATCAAAGTTCACTAAAACCTATGTTATCCTCAATTAGGCGATTTACTACTGAAAGTACTATTCCGGCACAGAGGCGCTACGGCATTACCGAGTTTACGATAGTATTAGTTACGCTTCTAGTTAAAAGTCTTTCAAACTTGTTAATAAAAGCTCTTTAGATTTCGTAGAATTTCATGTCCACTACTCTTATATGATATATTTTCAAAGAAAGAAGAAGACACTAATTTACAATTTTAACGCGTAATAGAGAAATTTCTTAGGAAACAAAAAATTTTTTATTTAAAAGTAGATTTTATTTAAATTGAATTGTCTTTACTTGAAATATTTTTTACTGAAATTTTTTTATGATAAAATTAGTCACAGATGTTCTTATTTATCGCAAAACTTTATCATACATAACTTTAAGAAAAGTAACCTTTGATTTTTATGTCGTCCTTAGTTTTCTTCCCAATATTGTTGTCTCTGCTTTTAAATCTCTCTCTTTCTCTCTCTCTATTACCCAACCCATTGCTTTTTATTTTACACCATAAAGTTTTGTTTTGACTAGAGCGACTTTCGTCCAGATTTCATCATTCTTCAGAATCATTTGGATTAACGGATTTTCGAAATACGATAATATAGCGAAAAGCTATACATATATATATATATATATATCTCATTTATGTAAACTTTTGCTAATCTCTTTAGACGATTTGCTACCAATCGCTTGACACGCGGATGATACGTACGTAAAGTGAAAAGTAAAGTATTCACAGCTACTTTCATTTGGTGTTTGTAACTCGATGTGTCGGTTAGAAAAGCTTTTATACTGACTTTTTAGGTAGCTCTCGGATAAGCTTGTGTTTGAGCGAATCGTGAATAGTTATGAAAACAATCTGCCTGAGTGCCCGAGTAGGCAAAAGTCTCGATTAGCAACTCAGTGGGCGTGGGTGCAAATCTCAAGTGCGGTAGAGTATTTAATGAAGCCGGACAGCCTTAGAATGCTAGTGCTTTAAGACATTAGTCTTAGAATTTATTCTCGGTCTAAATTAATAGTAAAAATAGTGGGAAAACAAACCTTCTACTTCTATCGGCTCTACAGCAAGTAATGAAGGACGGATGGACAGATGAACAAATTCACAAAATGCGAAATTAGACGGCAAATCTTATATATCTCCGTTCCTCGATGGCGAGTAAAACCATTACACTATGGTGAGCCTATTAAGTAAAATGAGTTTTTGCGGCTTTATATCCATCGCATCATCACCGAGAATAAATTACTTAGCATGCATTTAGTATGTGATTATGTTCGCATAACCGTATGAATGCGGTTCGCATAGCTGTTCGGTCGACTAAAATCACGTCGGACCTTAAAATCCTTTTTTTGAAAGGTTGGCTAGACGGACCGAACCGACGGCCTTAATTGAAGAGAG